CAGTTGTCTATCCACTGCTCCATCTGCCTATCCTTCCACCCATTTTTTATTCAGCACCTACTCAATGCCAAGCCCTGCCTACTCTACAGTGTAACCAAAGGAAATTGGCATTCTCTTTTTAAAAATAATTTTAATTTATTTTTTATTAATTACAAAAATAATTTAAATTAAAAAAGTAATATATACTTGCCATAAAATAGAAATGTATACTTTTGTATAATGTATGTAAATATATTAACATATATTGTTGTGGCTGCAACTGTGGGCTCAAACGTAGCAGCAATTGTGAGGATGGCGAACGACTGACAATGTTTTGTTCTGTTGTACATGCGGTCACTATGAGTCAGGACTGACTTGACAGCACCTGACAACAACATTTAAAAAGTGAAAAAAAAAATATCCCCTCCCTCTCCAGTTCCAAAGTTCTTACGGTGGTTTGGATTGTATCCTTTAAATTATTTTTATGCCTTTACAGAAGTATATATAACACACTCACACGCACGTAAATAAATAGGTGTGTATATACCATACATACCCGTTGCTGTTGAGTTGATTCTGACTCATAGCGACCCTACAGGACAGAGCTGAACTGCCCCATAGGGCTTCCAAGGAGCAGCTACTGGATTCGAACCAAAAGGTCGGCAGCCGAGCTCTTAACCACTGTGCCACTAGGCCTCTAGGTGTGTGTATAACAACAACAAAAAACCAAATCCACTGCCGTCGAGTCAGTTCCAACTCATAGCAACCCTACAGGACAGAGTAGAACTGCCCATAGGGTCTCCGAGAAATAGCTGGTGGATTCGAACTGCAGACCTTTTGGTTAGCAGGCTAGCTCTCAACCACTGTACCACCAGGGCTCTAGGTGTGCTAATAGGATCATACAATACATACTATTCTGAAACTTACTTGTTTTCACTCAACAACCAGTCTCAGACCAACCTCATTCTTTTAAATGACCGCCATAATTTTTTAACCAAGCCTTTATCAATTGACATTTACATTACTTCCAGTTTTTCCCTGTTATAAACAAGACTGTAATGACCATCCTCATAGATTTTTCTTTGTGCATGTGTATTTTGGGGGTAGGTGTCAAAATCGACCTTCTTCCTGTTTCAGGAATTTAAATATGACCGATTCCTGAACCCTGATGGATCAGAGAAGAAAGACTTCTACAAGGAAGGGAAACGGCTGAAGAATTACAACATGCCGTGGGGCGCGGGGCACAATCAGTGCCTTGGGAGGAGTTATGCCATCAACAGCGTCAAACAGTGAGCATGGGGTGGCGGGCTGGGACTGGGAGAGGGAGGCTCCTGCTCCATCTGGTTGGTGCCTGCTTCCTCTCCTGAGGGCAATGGTTTAGAGGAGAGGTCTTGGCAGACAGCCTGGGAGCTGTTCCCTGCGCACAAATCTATTTAACTTGACCTGCGCGATGTTTAAAAAAACAAACAAACAGATGCTAACTTTTAAAAATCAGAAGAACTCAGGTAAAAAGCCAGATTGCTGATTTCCTTTGACATAATCAGATCTGGCAACAATTTCTTTCCAAGCCTAGTGTCCAAATACCAAAGCCCAGAATACCCAACACTGGACATTCCATCCAGCTGACCACGGCTGCCATGTCCGCAGCTGCTGCGGAGCGTTCAAAACCTCTCTGCAGGAACTCGCCCGACTTTCTGGTGCCCGCTGGTTATCTGAATGCCTATACAGCAAAATAGACTAGCTTCTATCGCATAAGGTTTTGGGACAGATAAGAGCCCTAAATGGCTACAAATGCTTAGCACAGTGTCTGGCACATGGGTGTGTTTGGATAAAGTAGTTAATGGTGTTGTCTTTCTCTTACGTCATTGTCATGGCGACCCTGCTAGGTCGATATCAATCTAAACTGAGTTTAGTGAGGTCGCATCATTAGCTGCAGTCACACACCTGGTAAGTGGAGGTGCCAGAATTCAAAAACAGGTGTGGGGTCAGAACCTCCCCCCATGTAAATTCATCTCTAGCATCCTAGAGCTTCAGAGCTGGAAGGGACCCGTGCTAACCTTTCCCTCTTCACCAGACCCAGAGAGGGAAAGGAACTTAGCGAGGGGTCACACACCCCTAAGTGGCACAGCCCAGCTCTGCGCCCAGCTCTCCTGTCCACAGTGTTGAGGTCCCTCTAGCCTCATCTTCCCTCTTCCTCAGTCATTCGGTGAGACTAATGAATCCCTCTGGATTCTTAGTCTTGCATTGGGCACCTGGGTGGTGGTGGGGGGCTAGTAGTGGGACACAGAGTAGTAAAAGGTCTAGTCCTGACCCTTACTAACCATAAGGCAGGTAGCCAGGAACCAGTTAACACCAGACAGAGCTGGCTCCGCATTTAAGGGGGCACCAGTTACCTCATAGTCAGAATTGTTGTTATTGGGTGCCATGGAGTTGATTTTGACTCATAGTGACCTTGTGTGACAGAATAAAACTGCTCCATAGGGTTTTCTTGGCTGTAATCTTTACGGAAGCAGATTGCCAGGTCTTTCTCCCAGGGAGCCGCTGGGTAGGTTCAAACCGACAACCTTTCAGTTAGCAGCCCAGTGCTTAACCAGTGCGCCACCAGGGCTCCTTATAGACAGGGTAGCCTTGTATAGTTATTATGACCATTTTCCAGAAGACGGCAGTAAAGAGTGCTTCTTCCTGAAAAATTGGTAGATGATGACAGTTTCCCCACAGATGGCAGTAAAATGTCTTGAGAGAGAGGGGCCTGTTTCTAATTTCACAAAGGCACCTTATGGGTGAGCAGCAGGCCAGGTCAAGACAGACAGGAAGGGCTCAGGAGTCTGGGGAAAAGGAGGGACGTGTGTGGGCAGGAAGAGTCAGGAAGAGTGGCTGTATTAATCAGGACAAGTTAGGCTAGGCTGCTGTAACAAACAAACTTCATGTCTCGGGGGCTTAGAACAGCAGAGGCTTATTTGTCACTCACGCAGAGTCGGCTGTCGGTTAAGGGGGCTCTCCTCCACGCAGGGACTCAGGGCCAGGCTCCTCCCATCATTCGGCTCCATCTCCACACGAGGCTTCCATAGTTGCCGCGGCAGGAGAGGAGAAAGCTGTAGAGTCCCACCAAAATTACAAAACCAAACCCATTGCCATTCAGTTGATTCCAACTCATGGCAACCTTGTGCGTTACAGAGTGCAGCTGCTCCATACAGTTTTCTTGGCTGTAATCTTTACAAAAGCAGATCACCAGGCCATACTTCCACAGTGCCGCTGGGTGGGTTTGTACTGCCAACATTTCAGTTAATGTTGTTGTTGTTAGGTGCTGTTGAGTCAGTTCTGACTCATAGCATTCCTACATAAAACAGAACAAAATGCTGCCTGGTCCTGTGCCATCCTCACAATCATTGCTATGCTTGAGCCTGTTGTTGTAGCCACTGTGTCAGTACATCTCGTTGAGGGTCTTCCTCTTTTTTGCTGATCCTCTACTTTACCAAGCATGATGCCATTCTCCAGGCACTGGTCCCTCCTGATAACATGTCCAAAGTACGTGAGACAAGTCTCGTCATCCTCGCTTCTAAGGAGCGTTCTGGCTGTACTTCTTCCAACACAGACCTGTTCGTTCTTCTGGCAATCCATGGCATAGTCAATATTCTTCACCAACATCATAATTTAAAGGCATCAATTCTTCTTCAGTCTTCCTTATTCATTATCCAGCTTTTGCATGCATATGAGGCGATTGAAAATGCCATGACTTGGGTCAGGTGCATCTTAGTTCTCAAAGTGACATCTTTGCTTTTAAACACTTGAAAGAGGTCTTTTGCAGCAGATTTGCCCAACGCAATATATTCTTTGATTTCTTGATTGCTTCTTCCATGGGCATTGATTGTGAATCCAAGTAAAATGAAATCCTTGACAAATTCAATCTTTTCTCCGTTTATCATGATGTTGCTTATTGGTCCAGTTGTGAGGATTTTTGTTTTCTTTATGTTGAGGTGTAATCCATACTGAAGGCTGTGGGCTTTGATCTTCATCAGTAAGTGCTTCAAGTGCTCTTCACTTTCAGCAAGCAAGGTTGTATCATCTGCATAATGCAGATTGTTAATGAGTCTTCCTCCAACCCTGATGCTACATTCTTCACATAGTCCAGCTTCTCATAGTACTTGCTCAGCATGCAGATTGAATAACTATAGTGAAAGGATACAACCCTGACTCACACCTTTCCTGATTTTAAACCACACAATATCTCCTTGCTCTGTTCTAACGACTGCATCTTGGTCTGTGTATGGTTCTGCATGAGCACAACTACATGTTCTGGAATTCCCATTCTTCACAACATTATCCATAATTTGTCATGATCTACACAGTCGAACGCCTTAGCATAGTCAATAAAACACAGGTAAACACCTTTCTGTTATTCTCTGCTTTCAGCCAAGAGCCATCTAACATTAGCAGTGATATTCTTCGTTCCATGTCCTTTTCTGAATCCAGCTTGAATTTCTGGCAGTTCCCTGTTGAGGTACTGCTGCAGCCACTTTTGAATGATCTTCCACAAAATTTTACTCGTCTGTGTGTGTTATTAATGATATTGTTGGATAATTTCCTCATTCTGTGGGATCACCTTTCTTTGGAATGGGTACAAATACGGATCTCTTCCAGTCGGTTAGGGAGGTAGCTGTCTTCCACATTTCTTGGCATAGTTGAGTGCAAGCCAGGGACCACTGAGAGTCACACACTAGGTCTTAATTGCTTTGGCCTGGAATTGATGGAGGTCCTGAACTAGTCCAAGGGCCTGTCTAGCCACAGCGGGGCTGGGACATGGGGAGAGGGCGGGGGTTCTTGATGAACAGTAAACACCTTTGCTTTCTCACTCCCCTCCTTTCCCCAAAGTATGAGTTGGGGTCAGACTCCAGAAGAAAGCACGGCTTTCCTGCCTTATTCCTGGTCAGCCCCCAACCTCTCCCTCCCCTTAACGCCATCAATGCCATCTCTCTGCAGATTTGTGTTCCTGATGCTGGTGCACTTTGACCTGGAGCTGACCAACCCAGACGTGGACATCCCTGAGTTTGACCTCAGCAGATATGGCTTCGGTCTGATGCAGCCGGAACACGACGTGCCCATCCGGTACCGTGTTCGGCCGTGAGGTCCAGAATAGACGGGGCTTCTGCACACTTGCCTTCGCCCAGCCCACACCCACCCTCCCAACTTCCTACGACCGCGGTTCAGCTGGGTGCAGAGCTGTGAACACCCTACAGTGCCAGCATTATCACGGGCCTGCTTTTTTTGCTAGAAGGCTATGTCCAGGGGAGGGGAAGGAGGGGAACTGAGAGAAGGCAAACGAAGAAGACATGGAAAGCTCTGTGGATTATCTGCTGCTGAGTTTTAGTTCCAAAATCAGGCTCTTTCTGCTCCCAGCAAACCTCGCTCCTCTCATCTTCGGACGGCCACAAAGCTAGTGCAGACAGGGCGAAACTAGGAGTCCTCACTGCGATGCCCTCAGCTCCCAGAGGATGACCTTCCAAGTACTTAACAACTGGTGTGGTCTGGGCCTCAGCCAGTCAGAACAGATGCTGGCCATAAAACGCCAGTCAGGACCTAGCAGTGTGTCCCTTGAAATCAGCTCCACCCCCAAATTGTTATTAAACCAGCTAGAGCCAAAGGAGTCCCCTTAGAATATCTGCTTCCTCAGATGCGCCATTCGCTGGGCACTGTCCTCACCTCTCCATTCAGACTGATGCTTGAGAAAGTACAGGAGGATTTTCCTGGGGCTGGGATATCCCAGGTGCAGAATGCGGACACGCTTAGGACACTGGGCTCCCAGGAGTAGCGTTCTCTGTTTTAGAGTTAGGGGCTCCAGATGTTGTTTTGGTGAGTTGCTGTTGAGTTGGCCCATGACTTATGGTGACCCAGTGCCCTATGGGATCGGACTGTTGTGATCCATAGAATTCTCACTGGCTGCTTTTTGGAAGTAGATTGCCAGGCCTTTCTTCCTGGTCTGTCTTAGTCTGAAACCTACTCAGCATCATAGCAACATGAAAGCCTCCACTGACAGATGAGTGGTAGCTGCATCGGCTGGGAATCCAACCAGGGTGTTCCGCATGGAAGGCGAGAATGCTACCACTGATCCCCCACTGTTCACGTGGGCTCAGGATGGGATGGGCTCTTCCAGTGTGGAATCTCAGATAGGGAAACTGAGGAAGACACAACCCTAATGGATGTTTGGGAGGAACCAGCCGGGGTTCCTGAGACTGGTTAAGTCAAAGAAGGAGGAGTTGTTGGTTTCTCACCTTCTGCCGCAGCAGCTCCACCTGTGGGCATGATCCAGCCCACACACATGCCTTGTTTGGCCTACACTTTAAAAAAAATCACATTCAATCTCTGGGAGAATTGATTCGGAATGTTCAGCTTCTCTTGAAAACTTGGGAGATGTAGCCACACTGGACCCACATTCCAATGGCACCGTTTGGCTAGAGCTGAGTAGCAGCCACCCCCCTTTGATTGGGCCTGTGCTCTCTGCTTCACCAGGGTTTTGACTTGGTCGGCTTCCCCGTTTAGAGTACCTCCTAGCCCTTAGAGGCATTTCATTTGAGACGCCCGTTCTAGTTCTGAGAAGTGATATTAATGAGTGGGAACCAGAAACCTGGTCCTCCGAGCCATTGTCCATCCCATCCTGGGTGTGCCCAGTGATGAGAACTTGGCCTTGCTTCAGCTTTTGGGGAAAAAAGCAGATAAAAAAGAAAAATGGCTTGGAAACCTTAATTATAATAGTAAATAGTATTATTGGAAACCCTGGTGGCGCAGTGGTTAAGAGTTGGGCTGCTAACCAAAAAGGTCAGCAGTTCAAATCCACCAAGCGCTCCTTGGAAACCCTATGGGGACAGTTCTACTCTGTCCTACAGGGTCGCTATGAGTCAGAATCCACTCGACAGCAATGGGCTTGGTTTTGGTTTCTTGCATGCCCTCTAAATGCCTGTGGCAGGCACTTTAGGCATCCTATCTCTGCTTAAGCATCTCTGAAAAGAGGATGGTGAGGTCCTCTTTACAGTGAGGAAACAGGTGAAGTGACTTGCCTGGGGTCATGCAGCTTGTAGCTGGTAGAGCTCGGCAAGCAGACTTATTGCCCCAGAAGCAAATGCTGGAGGGGGAGCTCTTTGTTCCTTGGGCACAAGGGGATGGCAGTGGGGCAGTTTGGTTAGGCACCGGAGAGCTGATGGAGCCAGTCACCCATGCATGCATGCATTGCATAAGACAGACACCCAGCTAGGTCCCGCTAGCTTTAGCTGACAGGCAAGGAGAGACCTCTGAACGATCCAGGGGCTAGTCTCTTCTGGGAGCAACGCCAGGGCTTGGGGGCTTCCCTGGATTCCCAGACTGACACTGTGATTGGCAGGAGGTGGGATATCCCCAGGGAAACCCATCTTCATGCCTGGGTGACCCCCACTGCCGCCTGCTTCTTAACTCTGCAGGAAATCAGGGCTGGCAGCCTTGTGTGGGAGGATGAAGCCGGTTTCCATGGCAACCCTCAGTTGCCTTGTCTCTGGCTCAGAAAGGAAGAAGGGCTGGGAAATAGCCGCAGGAAGATCAGTCTGCAGGGCTGCAACCCTGGCGAGCTGGGAAGAGCCCTTTGTGACCTTTCCCCTCTCAAATCAGGGCTGGGCTCTCACTGAGCTGAGATTCTCACCTACGTTCAAAAGAGAGCCCAGTTCCCTTTAAAGGTGACACTCCTTGGAGCCAGATCATTAGGAAGAGGCGGTGGTTCCGGCAGGCAGCTCCAGCTGGTACCCGAGATATTGAAGTATAGTTTGGGAGAGAATGACCTAAACCCTTCCTTGTTTTAATCTTTATTTTTCTTTTTCTCGCCTTCCTTCCTCCCTTCCTTCCTCTCTTTCTTTCTTCCTCTCCCTCCCTCCGCCTCCCTCCCTTCTCATGCTCCCTCTCTTTTAATATAAGCTATGGAGAAAAGAGGGAGAGATGAGTGTTACAGGTTAGGAAGGAACCTGGACGTCATTGTCTTTCTTCATGCCTTGCTTTAGAATCACAGAATTGCTGGATATCTGCTAGAAATACTCTTAGGTTGACCTAATGAAGTATTTCCTTTCCCTTCTCATTATTATTATTTTGCTTTATTTCATATTGTTGTTTACCAAATATTTCCCTTTAAACAGGCTCACTTTTCAAACTTAAATTTGTTTAAAAAGGGAACTTTTTTTCGATCGCTGCCGTAAGGGACAACACGTATCACTCACTGCCAAAAATAGAAAGTGACTGTGAAAAATAAATGCGCTGAGGAGGGGGGCTCCATGCTGGTGCCGCCAAGGCTCTGAGCCTGGGCCTGTTTCTGCGCTCTTACAAAATGAGATCAGCCTGTGTGAGCACGGCGCTGAAGCCACACGAGCACCACTCAGAGGCTTCTCCTCGACGCAGTCAGAGGGGTGAAAGCGGCCGGAAAAGGAGTAGGTGGCTCACCGTGAATCAGTCGCCCACTATGCCTGGTCTGTGAGCCACCCAGGGTCATCCCTACCATCAGGGGTCACCTCCCACAAGAGCTCGTGAGGTCCAACCCCACCCCCTCTCCGCACTCAGAAACAGGCTCAGAGCATTGGAATGTCTTGCCCAAAGTCGTTGATTTTGATAGTTTTTATAAACACAGTGTTTCATGAGTGATTGTTACACCTTGCTGTTTTAATAAAGAGTTCTATTTTCATATAATATTGTTGAGTGGCAATGTGCTGAAATACATTAAACCATCCTTAATTGTGGAACAGCCTCTGAGTGTGATTCAGATCGAGAGACTCGCTTGTGTCCGGAATGGCAAGGTTAATGCCTGGGAAGAGAGGGGAACAGACAACAGTACAGTACCTGCTACATGCCGGCCATTCTCCAAGGCATATATTATTATCTTCATTTTTACAGAGGAGGAAACTGAGGGTCAGAGATGTGAAGCGGCTTGCCCAAGGTCACATGGCTGATCAGTGGTAAATATGGGATTCAAATGCAGCCCTCTCTGCCTCCTGAAACTGTGTTCTGGATCTTTCCTTCAGTGATTCTCCTGATGGCAGAGGGGCTACCAGGTGCCTATAGAGGACCTTGGAGAATGGAGGTCTGAACCCAAAGTAAGACCAGCGTTCTCCGTCCTTTATCATGATGTGTGCATCTGTTTTAATATAAAAAAGAAGGGATTACTTGGATTGAATTAACATTGGGAAAAATAAAATAGGGAAAATTGTTTTTTCTCTCAAATCTTTGAGTATAAATAGTGCTCTGGGGCAAACATCCTTCACATCAGTTTCCTCATCTGTGAGGGGGAACATGGAAGCACACTCTGGATATGAAGTAACAGACATCTCAAACTTACAGTGACTTAAGCACAGCAGACATTTCCTTCTCATGCAGATTTAGGAGCCCAGAGGTGGTATGGCATCTCCATAATCACCAGGCCCCTTCCTTGTGGTCCCTCCACCATCCATGACCAGTAGTTTCCACCTCATGGTCCAACAGGGTTGCTTGAGTTCCAACCATTTTGTCCACATTCCAGCCAGCAAGAAGGAAGAAGGGGCAAGGAAGGAAACATCTCCCTCTGCTTCCATCCCATTGGTCAGAACTTAGTCACATGGCACTCCTTGCTGCTTAGGAGGCTGGGAAATGTAATCTTTCTCCAAGAAGACCAGTGTGTGCTACTGAAGGATGTGTAGCCCAGCTTGAGAAGTGCTGCATTACACGCTCCAGTTTACCAATCATAGTCTAAGCCACACAGCAGGGCCAGAAGGACAGTGTTTGGTCTCCCTGAGCCATTGACTTTATATCCTGGGTCTTAGAGGTCCACGACCCCAAGATTTTGGCCTTTCATACCCTTGTACTGTTAGCAAAGCTGGACAATGAATAAGGAAGACCAAAGAAGAATTGATGCCTTTGAATTATGGTGTTGGCGAAGAATATTGAATATACCATGAACTGCCAGAAGAACGAACAAATCTGTCTTGGAAGAAGTACAGCCAGAATGCTCCTTAGAAGCCAGGATGACGAGACTTCATCTCATGTGCTTTGGACATGTTATCAGGAGGAACTGGTCCCTGGAGAAGGACATCATGCTTGGTAAAGAGGAGGGTCAGCAAAAAAGAGGAAAACCTTTAATGAGGTGGATTG